ATGGCCAAAACATGGGCGAAATATCCAACAATGCTGTCGGAATAAATATACTGTCATGAGGAAATTCTGGGCTGCCAGCCATTCGTTTGCACCAAGTGCAGCCTCATGATTTCATCAGGCTAGTGAACATCCTAAAATTACTATTGAGGGGTTTGAGGCAGATGAAAATGCCAGGCTTCAATATTTTTGGGCAGTGAGCACAAAATTCCGACGGCAAAGAATGTTGTTCACCGTTTACAAATTCTAAGCAATTCAAACACTATTATCCTTGCAGGTTGTTCTTTGACATAAGCAAAGACTAAAATATGACAATAGTTGGACGATCCAGAAAATATCTCCGGTTTGGTGTTTCTGCGCGACAAAACCGCCAAAACCACGTTGTCTATCAACACAGTTATCATGTTACTGCCGTTCATCAGAGCATACAAAAATATCGCAGATTTGTATCATAGCTATCATGGCGTGATACGTTACCCATGTCGTATTAATGAAACTAGATTTAACAGTCACTTCCTTTTCCCAGGCAGAAGTGCCAGAACAGTGCAGCAGTAATGCCACGACTCGGTGCGAGCAGTCTTCAGTCAAATGCCTAAACAAGCCGGCACGATCGGGTGCTTTGACGCGCAGAATCTTTCTTAAACAGCTTTGCTGGATTGCAACGTTGAAAGCATTGTTACCGCGCTCTAGCCGTTTACGTGGCCACCAGTGAATTACGGAGTAGCAAAAATGCGCATAAAGTCATCATGAGAAATAAACCACGATAACATTATGAGAACATGCGGCAACTGCTTTTTAGTATGCGCAGCCTGTTAAGAAAAGCCCTAAATAATTCTGCCAAGCTTTCAATTAATAGCGCGCATTGTTACTACCTATTTTGCTGGTTCAGTCGGGTGAGCACTGTATGACGATCTGCAGTCGACACGTCCCAAAACTAAAAACCACCCCACCACCTGGTTCAGTTTGTGCATTTCTTCTTTTCCAAGAGTTTCCTTCTGGAATTCCTTCTTTCTGAAAGCCTCTGTCTTTCCAGAAGTTCTTTTTGTTCCCAAACCCTTTAAGCTTATATCTGTTCGGCGGTTTGAAAATGTCCAAATGGCAATCAAGAGACGTTGGACTTTAAGTAAGACCCACTACACCAGAGTTCATTAATAGGGTAACAACAAACGCAGAGACGAACATGGACGGCACAGCATATGATATTTGAATTAACCGGACGCTTCAAGTCTGGAAGTTTCCCTCTGATGTGAGCTCAATAGTTTATGATGATTTCAGGAAGGGCTGACACTGCTCAACATTGGCACTCACCACTGCCGTTGGCTGAGACCACGTTGCCGTTGCTGAGACCACGTCACGAGGCGTCGAGTCTTTTCAGCAGACTGTTTCTTATACCTTGCTTGTCTAGCAATGCTTGTTGAATGTTTGAAGTGTCGACTTTTCTCATTACATGCTCTACTATTTATGCATCAAGGATTCAAGAATGCACTGAGGCAAAAGCCTCGCCCAAAAACATTATTCAGTCACTCTTCTTTCCTAGCATTCAGTTCTGCTTGCGGACGTCTCCTCAGCCCCACTCACTACGCCGACACCGATCAGTGACGTAGGGGAACACAGAGATGGCTCTTCGGGACACAACGTGTATTTCCTATTTTCCTTGAGCTTTTCGTTCATGGAGAAGCTCTCACTCACTGCCCAACATTCGAGTTCCATATTAACTGAAGGCTAGCGATGCTCGACAACATGGGGAAGAACAAGCTGCCAAAAAGGACTATACGTACCGGGAAAAAACAATACCCGAAGCTTGAATGGAACCTAAAATTTTGACTGCAAAAGATTGTAATCTAACAAACCTAACGTAACCTAGCCTAACCTAACCTAACCTTGCCTAACCCAACCGAACCTAACATAATCTGATCTGACCTAACCCTAACCTTTGGGCGTTGATACACATGTGTTCGTGACTATTAGGAGCCGCGTTGATTGCAATGAAATGTCCCTGGCATGAGCCTGGAGTACTCATTGTTTGTGCCCAAGGCATGCAGCTTCTTTTGGCAATCTATCGCAGATAAAAAACAAGCATACC